GTCTCGAAAAACCAAAAAAAAAAAAAAAAAAAAAACCCCCCAAAAAAAAACAAACCACACACACACAAACAAATACAGACAAAACAAAAACAAAATAAACAAACAAGCAAAAAACAAAGGGGGAGAGAGATGCATAGTCTTTTTTTAACCTGCTTAACAGGGGACCATCATAGTTAACCCTGAATACTTTATTACCTATTTAGCAAGAAGCCTGGGACCCAGCAGGTGCGCATGTGGGGAACTGTGGTTATAAACCCAGGCTGGAGCCAGAGCATCTGGGATTGAATCTTAGCTCCACCTTTAACTAAATGTGTGATGATAGTTCCTGTCCTTGTAGACTCTGAGGATTTAGCACACTTTTTTTCTGTCTTAAATTTTATCTGCAAAACGGGAATGTAAGCGTATTTATCTGAGAGAGCTGTGGAGAGGATTACAAACAAAATAATAAACATTGGCTACTATAGTTAGCTGCTGTTATTATTTCTCAATTTTTATCTTCGGAGAAAGGGAGGCTTGGCTTAATCTGTTTCTTTATAATGTAGCTGTAGAGCCAACATCCACTCTAATTTCCTTCTCTCTCCCACACTGGGTGTTCAGAGCCCAGTTGTTTTTTTTTTTTTTTTTTTTTTTTTTTTTTTTTTTAAGATTCATTTCTATGCCTTAATTCTGTCTGTCTGTCTGTTAGTCTATCTGTCTCTTTCTGAGTGTGAGTGTGAGTGCAGGTGCCCTTGGAGTCCCGAAGAGGCACTTATAAGCTGCCCAACATGGGTACTAGGAACCAATCTCAGGTCCTCTGCAGGGAACAGCAAGCCCCCTAAGTAACTAAGCCACCCCTCCAGCCCCTCACACCTCATTTTAAGGCATTTTCTCCCATACCAGGTACAACTGTAGTTCCGTTTTCTGTTCTCCTGGGAGCCCATATATTTGAAAGACCCACCAGTGTTCCTTTGTTCAGTGGCAAATAGTATACACATACATTCACATTCCTGATTTACATTTGGATAATTTCCTCTCTGGCCTGCCTTCCATTTCTGGCGACTCGAATGAAGGTCAGGTGTCTTTGGTATCTCGGATCACGATGGATGAGCTGGGGAAAACTAGAAACAGGAATGAGTGATAGACTGTACAGGGACATATGGTAAGAGGGAAGGATCAAATCCATCTGACTGCCAGTGTTGTGTGCAGCTGATCCATAGTTACCATAGCACACTGGTCCAATTTCCTCACTCTGCCAATAAGCAAATGACAAAACCATACAACAAAACCCCCAAAACCTAATAACCCAGAGAAACTAACCCATCACTTGGTCTCTGGGAAAATATCACCTTGATTGCATCTTTTGTTAGTATCAACACATTTGTCTGTTTACATAAAGTTCCCTTGTAAGCCAGTGAGGCACCACTAGTCTTACCTTTAAGGATTCTCTAAGAACTTCCCTAACCTTCCCCCCACCCATGTCAGACAGGGGGACTCTGTGTGGATGTCAGGAAGGAACTAGGAAAATATCATTTTGCCTATGAGCAGTGGAGAAGGTTTGCAGATCACGTCAGGCATATCAGTGAACACTACACACAAGCTGGTTAAGGCTGATGGACACACACTGTCTCCAGTTAGACTCATTTATGACTTGTGTTTCTCTCTGAGGACGGCCATGGAGATGAGCAAGCTTTTGCATGGTCAAGATATTTACATGAATTTTCAATGGCTTTTATCATCAAAAGGCAAAAATTGAACGTAGCAGTGCTTTTCACAAGGAGCCCCCCCCCCCAAGGGTGGTTACCCACTCACTAGTTTTGCTGAATATACGATATAACATCTGGGTGCATAGAATTCTTGTGCTTTACAGACAAGAAAAGTGCAAGATTGCTATTATTCGTGTTCACAGCTCTGTCAACGCTGTATGAAAATCTCTCTCTCAGTAACCATTCCAAAGGCCTTTTACTATAAAGTGGTGTGTATATTTATTTTATGAGCTTGCTCAGACATATTAGCTGGCAAGCCATCCTGTCACGCCCTAATGAACTGAGTTCCATATAACGACCTTTAAGTGGCATGCTCCGACCAGAGAGAGGTGGTGTCTGGCAGCAAAGACAAATGGGTGTAGGGACAACAGACCTGGTGGGTGGGGAGGGGACCCCAATAAAGAGGTCATCAATACTAGTTTGGAGTTACTGTTTCTCCCAGGAAGCCACCTGTCCATGCAGTTTCATGTTTTAATTTGAAAAATGGAAGGCACACTCCCTTAAATTCTAAGTTCTACCTTATCCCTACATCTATTGCCATTGCTTCCCATACAAAACATGCACTGAAAAGTGCAAATTCCATGTACCACTTCCACATCCGGGGTGAGGCGATCTGACTTTGGAGCAAGAAGGGGCTCAGTGGTTTCCCCAATACAGCTTTAAAACCATCTTTGAATTTTCTTCCAAAGCAGCTTCGTTCTGTTAAGTTCTAGCAAAATCCCTGAAGAGGGTAAACACCAAATAAATGTGATGCATTATAATTTTTGTTAATTTTGTAGTGGGAAAAAAAATGAAATGAAGATTGGATTTTAATCCAATATCCATCATTACATTGGTCCAGAAAGTATGATGACTATTTGATTTTCTGCTTATTAAAGGGTGATCTGGAACCGTATTCCTTGGCCAACTTATTTTTTGTTTCTCTCAAGTCTGGTCCTTATTTATGTCATAAATTGTTCCTTGGGGATCCATGACATAGAATTAAACAGACCTGAGGTTAAATCTATATAAAAGCAGCAATAGTGCCCGGTCTAATCACTGCTCTATAGAGTACCAGAAATTCAACCTGCAAGTAAGTTTTGATTCTGTCTAGATCACTGATACAGTAAATCTAATGTGGTCACCTTTAAGAGTAAATGCCTGGGCATGCAACAACAAATCCCAGTTATGTGTCCATCAAGGCTGAATACACCGCACTCTTCAAATCTTTCCTCACAGCCAAAGTACAAGTGGTCTGATTAGACTCTCAGATATCTCAGACAAGCACTTCCTGGTCAAAAACCCTTTGGTTAATTTTGGCGCTATCTCAGCAGGATATTTATGCTTCTAATACCTTTGGGGGAAATGCCACCAGAAGACTGATAATGCCTTCCACCCACGTAGTGGTCTCTGCATGCTAACAGTGTTTTTATTCTTTTTCCTCTGTGTGTGCATAGATGCTGATTCTTGGGCGTGCCAGCTGCCCGCTCGAAGACAAAGCCACACCCTCTGCTAACAGTGCCTTTAAAAACCTTTGGAATAACGCAGAAGACGGTATTATTTACAGTGATCATCCTGAAGGACGTTTGCGTGTGGTTTAGAAAGTCTGGGCAATACTTGTGTTTCTCTGCACCGTATGAACGTCTCTGAAGACTTGGAGTAGAGAGACGCAAAGCCTGAAAGCAAGACCCCCCCACAGCAAGCCTCAACAAATACACACCCCGCAGCCGAACAGATCTAAGTAATGACCTGAGAGCCAGCATAGTTTTATATATATATATATAAACTGCTTCTAAAAGATATTTAACAGCAGAATATTTAAAAACCAAAAGATAATACTGACACTCAACTTACACTTATTATAATATTTTCATCTCCGGGAGCAATAAAATCAAACCTGTCCTGAAGTACATTTTCTATTGCTTCCGCAGATCCTTTTATTGACACATCAGCAGACATATCCTGTGGCGGATGCAGCAAGCTCCAGGTTCTGTGCTTACTCAACTACTCAGAGGATCAGGTCAAAGTGTCCAAGGACCATCTTGTACCTGGATTTGAAAACAATGAAACAGGATGCTGATTCAGGTGCCCACATCCACCTCTGACTTCCCAAGTGGTGTAGTCATTCCTAGCTCTCCCTTTTCTCTGCGATGATGCACCAGTTACCGTGGTCATTGCCGGCACTCAGAACCTGCAGCTCGGACACACTCTCCTGCAATAGTCCGGACAGCTCACCTTCCCGGAACACATGGTAGTAGCGCATGAAGGCCCGGGAATCCGGAGCATCCTGCTGCTCCTCCGCGTAGCTTGGGCCTTCTGGTTTGGAATCTGTAGAGTCAAATGCAGAAACTCTCCTTAATATTTTTCTGGCAGAAGGATCAATGACGTTATCTGCAGCCACACTGTCTCTGCTGTCAGCGATGTCCAGAAAATCGCCGCCCACCTTCCTCCTGCCCTCTCCTCCCTGGTGTCCCCTGAAGTTCTCTGAAGTGCCCGGTGCTTCCAGCCAGCCCAAGTGTCTTTGAAAAGATGTGTCTCCAAACACCTCATCTAAGTTTGGTTCTTTTGTTGAAAACGTCTCCTGAGGATGTAAGTCTAAGCTGGGGTGTCTGGAAGGCTGACGGGACACAGTGCTATTGGCCCAGCCCTCCGTGACTTTCATGGGTCTGGCTCTTTGAGTTTGCTTCCTCAGGGTTGATTCATCCAAAGACCTGGAGAAAAACCAGGAGCGGAAAGATTTTCCGAAATTGTTATACAATCCATTTGCTTCCTCGCCTTCCTTGGAAACATCTTCACAGCAGGTTCTCGCCATCGCAGGCCCGTCGTCCATGCTGTGGGACCGCTTGGAATCGCACCTGCCCTGAAAACACACTGCGCAGCTGCAGGCGGAGCCAGGACCCTGGTGGCCTTGGCTCATGGGATGCCCACACGGATGCCCCCAGGACTGGTGGGATTCTGAGAGCCGCCGGGAGCAGAGAGCATGGTTCCACGGTACCAGCACGTCCTGCTTCTCGAAGTGCCGGTTCTTCTGTTCCATCGCCCAAACGTAAATCATCAGTTGGCCTCCAGGAGCTAAGACCCTGGCCATTTCCTTTATTGCTCTAATTCTTCTTTGTCTTGTAGAAAAATGATGTATGACTGAAAAAGGAAAACAGAACAGAACACTTAGAGCTCACTGTGCATGCATCATAGGCATAAACACATACATAGTGATGTGTTTCCACAGAACAATGATGAAATTCTGACCTAGAGCGAGCCTTATCTCGATAAACTGGAGAAACAACAAGGGTCTGTATACTGAGTGGTTCCGTGTGTCAACTTGACACAAGCTAGAAGTCATCAGAGGGAGGAGCCTCAGCTGAGGTAATGCCTCCTTGAGATCCAGCTCTAAGGCATTTTCTCATTTAGTGATCAATGGGGGAGGACCCAGCCCATGGTGGGTGGTGCCATCCCTGGGCTGCTGGTCCTGGGTTCTATAAGAAGGTGAGCTGAGCAAGGCATGGGAAGCAAGACAGTGAGAAGCACCCCTCCATGGCCTCTGCATCAACTCCTGCCTCCGGGATCCTGCCCTGCTTGAGTTCCTGTCCCGATTTCCTTCAGTGATGAACAGCAATGCTGAAGTGTAAGCCAAATAAACCATTTCCTCCCCAACTTGCTCTTTGGTCATGGTGTTTCGTCGAAGCAATAGAAACCCTAACTAAGACAGTCTGGCTTTCAGAGAGACACATTTTTTGGCTTGGACAAATTTTTAAGTTTCTTTAATTCCAATAAGAAACCTAGAGAGATATAATGTGCAAGCTCTCTTCAGCTCCAAAGCCTGTGGAATTTGATAACTGGACAAACAAGTGTAACTGATGTGAATTATTGAAATATAAAAAGGACATTAAGTGAGGCAGTGTTCTCTGGTGGAGTCGATGAGATAATTCATTATTTTACTGAATAATGAGCAGCATGAATCATTGGTATTAGTAATATTAATAAAACAAATACAGTATAGTAAAAGATTAAATATTATTTTTTAGCTAGATAACACAAAGAGAAGTCAGCTAAACACAAGTTCAAATGCTCACCCATCATTTCTTAAAGGTAACACAATAATTGTGTATGCTTAAAAATCAATTTATAAGTTATGGTTTTACTTTTAATCCCTGTAACGTCAAAGGGAGATTCGAGCGTTTTCTAAATAGAATCCATCAGGGAGGAGACTGGTTCCAAGCAAAGCTGAGAGACTCCAGCTCTGATGTGGGCAGCCCTGGCAGGGAGCAACTGAAACGGTCCTCTGGTGCTCACACCATTTAGGAGTTAGCGATAATTTTAAACTAGTGATCTCTTGAGGTTTACTTGCCACAGAGATGCATTGACTATCTACAGGGAAAGTCTGCTATAGATACAAAAGCTTTCAGAGGGAGATCACTCAACAATACAATTTGTATTATTATTATTGTTGTTGTTGTTGTTATTTTTGTGTGTGTGGTTGGGTGTTTTGCCTGCCTGTGTGTACATGCGCCACATTTGTGCAGTGGCCAGGAGGGGGCGTTGGATCCCTTGGAACTGGAGTAATGAACAGTTGTGAGCTGCTATTCTGTGTTCACGGAGACCACAGAAGACAGCTTCTGGGGACAGTGACCACTCACTGCATTGATCTTGTAAAGCCCAAAGAGGGGCAGGGGAAACATTAAAACAGACTGTTTTCATGCAATAAAGATCTCTTTGAATAGACTAATAGGTCTCCAATGTTCCAGGATTCTACCAGGTTTCAAAGGGTGCTGCATTCTATACGAGACAAAGTTTTCAGTCATTTATTGATAAATACAGAATAATTTATTTTTAATTATAATCTTATGCAGAAAAGTGACTCTTAAATGTTTTAAATTTATATTTAGCAGGCAGCGGGTAACAGCTTTTAAAACAAATGTTGTAAAATTTTTATTTGTGCATATGTATCTGTGAGCAAGTGCCATGTGTATCCAGGTGCCTATGGAGACTAAAAAGGGTGTTGGATCCTCTGGTGCTGGAGTAGGCAGTTGTGACCTGCCCAGCCTGGATTCTGGGAACTGAACCTGGGTCCTCTGCAAGAGTAGCAAGTGCTCTAAACAGCTGAACCATCTCTCCAGCCCCAAGCCAAATGTTTTGGAGGAAAAAGAGGCTTAAGCAGGAAAATTTGCTCACACATGCCAAACGTGCTATATATACACACACATACATGTTCTGTCAGAAGGCACTGTGAATGTCACTATAGTAAGATCTGTCTGAAATGTCACTGCTGAGAAACTATGCCAAAATTTTAAAAATTAAGAGAATATTTTTGCTTATGAGTCATAACCAGAGCTTAAAGGCAAAAATAGTATTCCATATACGCACTCCCTATATCCACTCCGTCTATGTACTTAGAGCAGTTTTCCTGTGGAGAGGCTAAAAAATAACTTGGATCCCAACTTTTGGATGACAGAACCAAATGGTGACAGCGGATTTCCGTTAACAGCCTGTCATGTCTTACGTTTTATGACTTCCTGTTCTTTAACTGTGCCAGTGCGTAGGTCTCACTAGGTACCCAGAGCTGATGGGTTTAGCAGGTTTTAGGTTTTAAAACCCTAGTATCGCTGAGTTTTGGAGCCAGACCATTCCTGTTGTGGGGGAGCCACCTACTATGTGACAAGAGCACACGTCCACCTGTCCCCTGTGCGTCCCCCAAAATGTCACCAGATGTCATTCAGTGTCCCTTGGAGGGTGGGGGCTGGGAGCGATAGAGCGCTACTTCAGAGTCGCTGGTGCGAAGTGGGTAGTTGATTTACACCAGTTTATGTTGCTAGATTCTTCTAGACTGTTTGCGGAACTGCTCTAAAGGCAGGGAGTGTTTTTTGTTTTGTTTTGTTTTGTTTTTCTTCCCCTGAATCTGCCAGTGAAGCGTGATGGAAGGGGGGCGGGAGGGGAGAGATACGTCCTTGCGTCACGGCGGGCAAGAAACGCCAAAATACGCAATTCAAAATAGGGACTAAGTATATATGAATGTAAGAGTCTTGAAATTTCTCAGAATGTTGTTCTAAATGTGAAACGTGACTGAAAAGCGACCTTATCGCGTAACCTCATAGCTGCAGTTCCTAAAAGCGTGTTTGGTTTTTCCATTTAAAGGGGCATTTTTGTTTGGCTTATTTATCTTGAGTCGACACCTCTCTGTGTCCTCCAGGTTGACCTCAAACTCATGATTCTCCTGCCTCCGCCTGCACAGGACTGGGATTACAGATATGTGCCGTGGTGTCCATCGAGGGAGCATTTTCAATGAAAAGATAGTAACAGGGTGTGCTAGTACATTTCTGCTACTACAACAGGAGGCCGAAGACTAGGTCAATTATAAACAACAGAAGTTGATTTGGCTCATGTTTCCAGGGGATGGTCATTCCCAAAACCAATGGGTCAGCATAAGTGAGGGCGTTCCGGCTTTGTCCTAATATGGCTTAGGACACACATGACAAAGAGAACTGAGTGAGATGGGGAGGGGACATGAAGGGGGGTTGGGGGGGGAATCCTGCCAAGCTCATGGTTATGCAGCTATTTCCTCTGAATTGCAAACTTCTTCCTGGAGGGAGAGGTAGTGTAAGACTCAGACTAAAAGCTCACAAGACCTATGAGCCCCTCGCTGAGGTTATACAGAGTAAGCCATTGCTGAGGGAGGGGAGACTCCAGATGTGGAGGAGTTCCCGGCACGGTGTGGAGCTTTTCATGAGGTAGCCCCCGTGTGGAGTGGGCTTTTCAGTGGTAAGCTTCTTTAAGTCATCAGTGTGTCTGTCCATAAGTAATTCTTCTCCCATGCTCCTGGCTGAAACCTGACTGAGCGCACTGACCGACCGTGGGATGCTTCTTTGGTCTGTACCAGAGTCCTTATCTGGGGTTCACCCCTCCTAGGAAAAAGGTCTGCACATCTCTCCCCAGCCCTCCGGTTGAGAGGGTTTTCTCGTGATAACTAACCCATTTCCACCATCAGCTTTTATAGGTTCCGGAGTGCCATGGCAAATTCTAAGGTAAGCTTTGGGAGGGCCACACGAGAGAGTGGCATGCTCCATTTTTCTACACGGGAAAGGCATGGCCTCTAAACTGAGTACAAAGAAGAGTTCAAGAAGAAACGCGGAGCATTTCTCGAAGGCAGGAAAGCTATCGGCACCGTCCCTTCCCCCACAGTAGCTGAGTGGTGCTGAGATAGGCGCCTTGTGGACCCGAAAAACCAACGTGACCAGAAAGAGAGCAAGGTCTCCATCTCCTCCCAAACTCTATTTAATTTCCAGTTCTTTAGGAAGGTGACCAGATAAAAAGCTTTCCCCACTAAAGATTCAGAGCACAGCATGGTGCTGCTTTGGTCAAAAAGAATCCTTTGTTATGTCTGTGTGACTTCAACCAAGGCTATGTCCACAAGGAAGTCACTTTGGGAAGTCACTAGGCTCAGATGTGGTCCTGCATGCTTGGATTAGCACCATCATAAGAGTCCAGCAAGCTTGATATTCAACCTCTACCTCTGTCATACGGGAAATCGGGGGG